AATGGACATGCGTTAATGGCTAAAATATTATTTTCAGTTTGTTGTCTTTATCACTTGAAGAAATTGAGAATCCAAATGCAAATTAAAAATCTGTTAAACTATCTGGTATACTTGATAGATTATGCTCATTTGATTGCGTTTTTACATCACATTATGTTTAACCTATATTAAAATGAAAAATAAAAAAAATTATATGGTGACAATTACCCAATTACGAACATCCATGAACATCAAGTGAAAGTTGAAGCTTTCTATGAGCATTTTGCACAAACGATATTTTTTGAAGGAAAAATAAACTGTGTGCAAACGAATCGTAATAGTAATCATAAATTTATTGTAATTTTGTCGAATTTGTGCAAACAAAGGCTACTTTTTTTCATTTAATCTTTGATATAMGAGTATTTATTAGACCACATACACATTCTAGTTTTGAAAAGTTTTACTAAAAAGTGACACATGATKTACTTATTTTAAAAACATACTATTTAACAATTARATAATATTATAACGTAATTAGATATATTTTGTCTATATTTATTAATTAATTATATTTTATTTTAAGTTTAAAAAAAATAAATACTTACAAATCTAGGAATATAACATTTTTCTAGAAACCATTTCATAGAAGAAATTATAGACTTATTTATATAGATTATTAAAATCAGCTCAAAATCAATAATTTAATAGGTATTTACATACATATAAATCTGTACTTACTGACTTTATATTATAAGCTCTTGTTTTGACTATCATWAAAAATAGTTTACTCTTKCATGAAATAATAATTAGTATGAATAAATATAATTAATGTTTAATACACTATTACCCATCCAGTAAATAAACTGTGTATGGGTATGTTTTTAATTGTTTAGTTGTGTAGATAAATCTAGGATCCATAAACCAACCGACAAAATATTGCATTACGATATTTAATTAAAACTTTTATGCACATAATGTAATAACACGGCAGATTTTTTTTTTTCGTAAAAGAGTGAAAAAAAGTATTTTATCAAATACTATTCACAGAGGTAAAACTATAAATTCTTTAAATTTATGATTTTTTCAATATYAAAAAATAATCAAGTATCGTGGTGCAAACACATACTGTTTTGATAGTGAATATTAGTTTTCTAATCATTAGATTAGTAATTTTTTAAATGTGTCAGCCTAAGTTAATTTTTTTCTTCTCAAATGTACACGTTTTCTTTTAATTGATTCATTACTTTATTGATTTCGGAAAGCAGCCATCATATTTCCCTTATCTACCTATTTGATTCAATTGGCAAACYATATTTCTGATGATTTCTCTTTGTAGCGTAAGAAATTCTAGGAGTCAGTAATATATTTAATAAAGTTATATTTTATTTTTTCAAGTACAATTTTTATTAAAAGTATGACATTCCGACTTGTATATATAATTGTAACCGTTGACTACGATAACCGAAGCGTATGATAATATTTATATTTTGATAAGATTATTAAATTAAGTACCAGTAAATTGGGTACTTAGTTAGTTTAGCATTGTATAACCAAATATATATWTTTTTTAGATCAAATAATTAATTGTGTTTTATMAATTTCACAGCGTGGACATCCGAGGCAAGTTTACAGATCCTAACAAGTCACATTGGAAGGACGAGTCGTTGGARGGCAGGTCACACTTCCGAATGTTATCCGAACCGGCTATGTTAACCATCGATAACGTATCGGAAATGGATGCCGGAATTTACAGATGTCGAGTAGACTTTCGGAAATCACCAACCAGAAACTCCCGACTCAACCTAACAGTAATTGGTAAGTACCTACAGGTTATTTCTTTGTAGTTTTGTTCTGAACGTATTTCTGGAGTCAAAAATCATATCGCACTGGACAGACATTGGGGSGTGGACTAACACTGAAAACTATCCACATATTCACGTCGTGTTACACGTTTGATATTTTTATCTATGTTTATAAAATGTCGTATGTAGGAAAAATATTGCATGAGTCACGCCAAAGTGAACGCAATGTWATTCCATTTTTATGAATTTTTCAGAACAGGACTTCTTATTAGGTTTTGAGACCATACGTGTTACCAAAGAAACGTGATCAAATTATTTTACTTGTATATATAAACACACAAAATACCGTAGAGAATTTTATGCCCAACGTKATTCACTTGAGAAGAAAGGATATGCCCGACTACTGTCACACGATCTCAGTTTTCATTTTGGTGTCGTCATTGTGTGATTATTTTTTAACCAATTTCGTTGGCTAAAATAAAAGSTAACATTTTTATGACATACAATTACAATTTTAATCGTGACGTTTTAAAGTTTTCAATTACATCTTTCTACATAAATACAATTTAAAACTATCGAATATTAAACAATTAACTATARACAGTAACACTAATTAAATCAAATAATTTGTTTTTGATTTTGCAAACTCGACACACCATTAGTAAAGTTTGAGGTAGTTATGGTGTATTTTATGTCAACGATTGTAATT